GTTTCAGTACAGTTTTCTTGGATGTTTGAAAAGTGAGGGTATATATGCATACAGATGATAAATTAGGATATTTGAACTAATTTAAACTGTAATAAGATATATAGAGATGTTTATACATATATAAAACACATTACATATGTAAACATACGTCTGCATTTGAGGTGTGTGTGTGTTCTCTATTTGTAGGTTTAAGATGTTTAGATCTTCCCCTCAGGCCACCCAACATCTGTGTACATGTGTGGGGACTGACTGTGTGGGACCTGTGTACTGAGCATCTGCTATGGCCAGGCCTGGCCATGAGACACTGGAAGGTCCGTTTATTTTAATACCACCACATCCACTACCCCCACTTTTCTCAAAGCTTGAAGCTGACAGCTTACATAATTTGGGTAAGAGCGTGCAGCTGATAAGCAGCAGAGCCAAGGTGTTAACCCCAAACAGGGGTCCATCTGCTCGACTTGATTTTTCAAGGACTCTCCTCCTGGTCCTACAAAGGCTTAACTGCTTGGTCTTATCAAACTCCTTCCTTACTTCCGGTCCTTTTGACTTCATGTATTTTGGTGATAGGCTCTTGAGTCCATAAATTTCCATTTTTTTCATAATAAAACAAGCTTTGCTCTGCTTATTCACGAGTATTATCTTGGTGGCTGTTACCATTTCTAGCTTTTTCGGTTTTGCTTGATATTTAAATCTTTCGTTTTCAGTGCAGTGTCACAACCCAGTTGGCCTCTCATAACATTGTTTGTGCAGTAGATCGTAATCTTAAATGAGAAAAGAGTTTTTTGGGGCTCCTGGGGGGCTCAGTCAGTTGAGCGTCTGACCCTGGGTTTTGGTTCAGGTCTTGATCTCAGGTCGTGAGATCGAGCCCCGAGTCAGGCTCCGTGCTTACTGCAGAGTCTGTGTGAGATTCTCTCTCTCCCCCTGCCACTCCCCCTCTACAAGCACATGCTCTCTCTCTCTCTCAAATAAATAAATGAATCTTCAAAATAAAAAGAACACAATTTTGTGTATTTTGTGCATAGCTGTATTTTTAGCACCTATACCTGGACCTGGCTTACAGACACGCCATAAATATAGATTCTTACTGACTAACTTAACAAACTGGGTCTGAAAGCCTTTGAACTGGATGTTTGGACCTATTCAAAGTTATTGTTGTAAGTGGCAAGTTTAGAGTTATTGTTTAATCCTCTGTCACAGTTTTAACATTTACTTTTGTCCTTGTGGTTACCTTTTACTACTCTTCTTTTTTTTTAAATAGTTTTTATTTTTAGGGACACCTGTGTGGCCCAGTCGATGAAGTGTCTGCCTTCAGCTTGGGTCATGACTGCAGAGTCCTGGGGTCAAGTCGCACACTGGGCTTCTTGCTCCGAGGGAACCTGCTTCTCCCTCTCCCTTTGCTGCTGCCCCTGCTTCTGTGCACACACACTCTCTCCCTGTCAAATAAATAAATAAATCTTTAAAGAAAAGATTTTATTTTTAAGTCTTTCTATACCCAACATGGGCTCAAACCCACAATCCCAGGATCGAGAGTTGCACACTTTGTGCCAGCGTCCCTCCTGTCTGTGTCTCAGTGCTGAGCTTCCCTCTTACGGTGAATGCTGGGAGCCCTTCTGTCTCCCTGGGGTGGGAGCTCCTGCCTCCCTGCCCGTCTCCATGCCTACCCTTTGCCCCTTCTGTAGCGGATGGAGCCTACCGTTCTAAAGATTATCATCCCATGAACTGGCATCATAGTCATCAGCCATTGGGACTTCTAATTTCAATTATAACCTTCCCATTATAACCTTATAATGTTCACAGTTCTTTTCAAGAATTGTCATGGGAATCTGGATTCAACTTAGGACTTTCTTGGCTACTATTTAAAAATCAATTTTGGGGCTGCTGGCGGGCTCCGTTGGAAGAGCATGTGACTTTTCATCTCTGAGTCATGAGTTTGAGCCCCACGTTGGGTGTGGAGATGACTTAAAATAAATAAACTTTAAAATCAGTTCTCTCTTTGAATGGTTTCATGGCTCAGCACCATCTTGACGGTATCAGAGATGTATCACATTCTTTTTTTTTTTTTTTAAGATTTTATTTATTTTCCCTCCTACACGGTTGGTGGGAATGCAAGCTGGTGCAGCCACTCTGAAAAACAGCATGGCGGTTCCTAAAAAGTTGAAAATAGAGCTACCCTATGACCCAGCAATCACACTACTGGGTATTTACCCTAAAGATACAAATGTAGGGACCCAAAGGGGCACCTGCACCCGAATGTTTATAGCAGCAATGTCCACAATAGCCAAACTATGCAAAGAACCTAGATGTCCATCAACAGGTGAATGGATAAAGAAGATGTGTGTATATATACACATACATACGTGCACCTGCACACACACACACACACTGGAATACTATGCAGCCATCAAAAGATGAAATCTTGCCATTTGCAATGACGTGGATGGAACTAGAGGGTGTTATGCTGAGCAAAATAAGTCAATCAGAGGAAAACAATTACAATATGACCTCCCTGATACAAGGAATTTGAGAAACAAGACAGAGAATCGTAGGAGAAAGGAGAGAAAAATGAAACAAGACAAAACCAGAGAGGGAGGTAAACCATAAGAGACTCTTAATCTCAGGAAACAAACTGAGGGTTGCTGGAGAGGAGGGGGTGGGAGGGATGGGGTCCCCTTGAGGAGGTGCCCTATGAGATGTATCATATTCTTACACTGAGTTAACTCTTCCTCAGGTTGGGTTCCAGGAACTTATTTTAGGAGCGTTCACAGGTAGCCTGGGTTCTTTCTGCTTGGACATCTGAAGATGGCCTGCGCGCAGGAGTTCTGGGTTTGTCCTGTTTCCTCTTAGAGCCAGAGTTTGTGGTTCACCAACACGACCTTTAATTTTGCAGAGAAACTATCTGAAGCTACATTATTTTTTTTTCCATCTTAAGAAGCTTCTTGTGTTGGGGTGCCTGCGTGACTCAGTCTGTTAGGTGTCTGTCTTCATCTCAGGTCATGATCCCAGCGTCCTGGGATTGAGCCCAGAGTTGGACATCCTGCTCACGGAGGAGCCTGCCTCTCCCTCTACCCTTCATTCCTGCTCATGCTCTCTCTCTCTCTCTCTCTCTCAAAAACATAAACAAAATCTTAAGAAAAAAGAGAGAAGCTTCTTGTGAACTCTTGAATGTGTACTCCACTTTCAGTTGGAATTCCAGGTTTTATGAGATCTGTTAGACACTCGTCTGCTTGAATGGTTTCATCTGTTCTAAGAAAGGCTCCAAAACACGCAGACTTGTGAGCAATAGGGAGTTTTCTTCCTTCTGTGGTTCCTGACTCTGCTCTGGCCCCTTTTGTCCCCGGGGCCTGGAGTCCTCCTAGGCTTGGCTCTCCCATGTCTGTCCTGGATTGTCTTGTTTTCCGTGTGTCTCGTGGCTGTCCTCTGGGGGATGGGACTGCATCCTAGGTTGGTTCTGCATGGAGATTTGTCCTATTGCCATTTCCAGGATGCTGCCCATCTGCCGTTGGCTGACTCTGGGGTCAGCGGCCTAGAGGTCAGTCTTCAGCCCAGATCGAGGCTTCTAATTACTCCCTTCTCGACCCTCATGGACTCGTTATGAAAATACAAGGCCGAGATTGTCTACGTTTTCTCCTCTCATTCATGTAATCAGCTCAGATGAAGAGCTTTCTCTCTCCTGTTCACGCGCTGGTCTCGTCTCTTGACCACAAGGGTCATGACGCAAGCCTTAGACATAGTGGATCACGCTTCGCCTGTGCAGGCAAACGATGGCAAGGGTGTGAGTGCAGACGGGACAGGTTCATGCGAAGGCGGAGAGAGAAGTGTGGATGTGACCGAAGCCCTTCCACACCGCTTCATGCATCTGGTAGCCAAGCTGAGGGAGGAGAGGCTCCAGGCCTTGCTGGGCTTGAGGGGCGCTGTTCAAGGGCACTCCGGCCGTGGCCCAGGGGGACCCCTGCCCTGTCTTTGGGCTGGCAGCAAGCCATGACTTCGTGGAGCATCTTCCGTCTTCTGGGGCAGCTGCTTTTGGCTCCTGTGCTGGTGTGACCTGGGCCATGAGGAGGGTCTCCTGGTGACCCCAGGGACGTGTGGTTGACCTCCCAGACCCTCTTTACTCAGCCTTGTCTTTTTGGCATGTAGACCATTTCAGGATTAAAAATAGGGTAATGTTGCCATGGCCACTTTTCTGGATACATTTTCCATTTCACTTAAATCATTTCTGAGGAAAGAGTTGCTTTATCTTTAGAAAAAAGGCATGGGATTTGTGTGTGGGGGGGGTCACTGACTAGGAATATGTTTATGATACCAGATTGTTTTACAGAAGTCTGGTGCTCATTTGTCCTGCCAGCAGCAATAAAGGATCAAATATAGGTGGTTGTCCTCTATCTTCAGCAAGTCTTGGGTATCGTAGAATAAATGCATGATATTACCCAAGAACATATATATTTTTAATTTATTTATTTGAGAGAGAGAGTGAGCTCGAGAGAGAGCACGAGCAGGGGGAGGAACAGAGGGAGAGGGAGACACAGACTGTCTGCTGAGTGGGGAGCCTGATTCGGGACTCGATCCCAAGACCCCAGGATCCTGACCTAAGCCGAGGCCAGCTGCTAATCCAACTGAGCCCCTCTGGGTGCCCCTGGAGAGTATATTTTTGAGGAGGAAATGTGGACAAACATGATTTTATGTAGCTGGGGACATAACTGGGGGCATCTGCTGTTCCTACAATGAGCTCAGTTCTGGGGCCACCATGCTGGATGGGTGGATGGCATTTGTAGGGAGAGTCCATGAGAGTGGTCTCAGGGCTCACCTCGGAGATGAGGATGCTAGAGCCAGTCACCTGGCCTGGGGAGGCATCGGTGTCCTGCTGGTGACACTGGTGGATCTTTCCTCTGGTGGCCGGTCGTGTCTCTAAGGCTTCTCCCCCTCTTGTCCCCACACAACCCCTAAGAATCTTCCTAAGGCAGTATAATAGAGTGGGAGACACACCCACGTGTGCTGTTTTGCAGGCAAATCATACGTTCCGTTTCGTGGACAAGCTAAAGACGTTAACAGGAACATTGCTAAAAATGTCCAGCATGTTTCAGAATGGAGGAAATGACCAGATGCTCGGCCAGCTGCAGGTGAGTAACAGCCGCCTTCACACCAGGGGCAGGGGCAGTGGGAGCAACTGTGAGGGTGCACCTTGAACTCGGAGTGGCCCCTCAGAGGAGCCCACAGAGCCCCTTAGGTGTGGTTGTCTGCTGACTAATAATATTGATCTAGAGTTGAATGTGTAAGTCAGCTTTGTGAATTGTCAAGGGCTTGATGCATGCCAGATGTCATTATTATAAGCACGATGAATTATTTAATAGTATTTGCCTGTTCTTTAAATTCCATAAATGGAGGGACTCCTGGGTGGCTCAGTCAGGGAAGCATCTGACTTTGGCTCAGGTCATGGCTCAGGGTCCCAGGATCGAGTCCTGCATCGGGCTCTCTGGTCAGTGGGAAGTCTACTTCTCCCTCTCCCTCTGCCCCTACCCCTGCTTACACTCGCTCTCTGTCAAATAAATAAATAAATAAATAAATAAAATCTTTAAAAAAAAATCCGTAAACGGAGGCACATTTCTGTACCTTAATACTCTTCTGAGTGGTTTGCATACTTTTCCAATTGTGGGTCTCCTTAAAGGGTCAGTCATCACTCCCTGACAGTCTGTATCTAGAACCCAACATATTCCAGAATTCTGGGGGCTATGGTTTAAGATGGCCAACTCCTGCCTGACAGCTGTGAGCTTCAGAACTTCACAGGAGGTAGGCCCCATCATAACCTGGGACATTTGTGTAACCGCAAGTCCCCTAAATCTGACGGCAGGAGAAATCACGCTCACCTTTTTATTCTGTTTGGTCTGTTTCTTATGCACCAGACAAGTAGTCCAAGCGACTCAGCTCAGGAGCCCACCCGGCTGGCTTTGATTCCCGGTCTAGTCCAGCAGTGGCGTGAACTGTCCCAGGGCTGCGGTCAGTTTCCCCTGGGGAGTCCCGTGCCAGGGGTCCCTCGGCTTCTGGCAGTGGGCCTGGCAGGGAGCTGCTGGCCTGGGGCAAACCCAGGTGGTTTCAGAGCCCAGAGACAGCCGTCAGTCCCATCCTGGTGTTTGATGGTCTGCGATGCTGGTTCTCAGTGGCCCCCGCTGTGTGAGTGCGAGGGCTATTGTCATCTTCTTGAACTTATTTGCTCATGGATTAATTTGTTAATACTGGGATCAGCAGGCTTTTTCTCTAACGGGTCAGATCATAGATAGCTTAGGCTTTCAGAGAGTCTGTGCTGCCATTGGAAGTAATTACATGGAACATCGTGAACAACAAACGGAGAGTTTCCGAAGTCATGTGAGCACCTGACTCCCCACCATCCAACCCCGGGGTCCACGTGGCTCCGGGGAGAGGTCCTCCCATGAGCCAGCACCGTGTGTCAAGCAGCCATGTTAGAAACACAACTCCTTCTTCCATTGCCTGAGGTTCTTGTCTTTGAGGACAAAACGTGGTGAGTGGCACACCATCTCCCAGTGTGGCAATCACGATCGGGGAGTGTGAAGAGCCCTTGGGGGTGTAGCATCTGACACCTGTATTCCACACCTGGCTCTTGCCGCCAGACCAGACCCAGACGGCCTTTCTGCTCAGTGAAAAACAAGCGATCCCCTCTCAGAGATGTGGCCGATCATAGATGATCAATACACAGGAAGTGCCCACCCTGGTCTGGCCTGCGGCGGATGCTCAACAAAAGATACACAGGATTCCAGTAAAATAAAAGTGCGCCCCAGTGTTTCATAAGGAAATCCTGTCATCCGTACGCTAGGGTCATAGAATCCTCACATCCAGGAAGCAGAGGCTGAGGAATCACAGACCTGAATTTAGAGGGTGGACACTGAGAATTCCATACTGGAAGTCCTAAGTTTCGAGGCTGTGTGCTCACACGGAGTCAGGGTCATGTGTCAGTATTCTCTAGGGAACAAACAAGTTCCAGAATCAGTCCTCGTTCTGCCAGCCCCCTCCTTGCTGAGTCCTGGCTCTGGCCTCACGACCTCAGCGTGTCCCCCTCGGTCTCAGTGGGCTGTTGGCCATTGCCGGGGGCATCTATCAGGAGGCAGGCTTTCACTCCAAGCACCTTGGGGAGCCCTCCTTAGTGAAAACATGGACAAAGAAGATTTGGAGCCATCAGAATGAACGAGGGATCACGTGGATCATGATCTGTGAGTTTCTTCCCAAGATGACATTTGATGGCCAAAAAGGTTCAGGAAATACAGAAAACCTTCCACAGTGGTTTCACGTGAGGGACCCTGTCTCTACAATTGGCATGTGGAAAACACACTGGAAAGGAGCTTTTAAGAAAGCTATCTATTAGTTTAATATTTGTTTGTTTGTTTTTAGAGAGAGAGCGCGTGCGTGCCCATGGGTGTGTGAGCAGGAGGGAGGGGCAGAGAGAGCCTTAAGGATTATTTTATTTCATTTAAAGTAGGCTCCATGCCCAACATGGGGCTTGAACTCATGACCAGGAGAGGAACAGTCACATGCTCTACTGACGGAGCCAGCTGGGTAGGCGCCCTGTAAATGAGCTTCTATAAAGCATCACCCTCTCCTCTTGTTAGAAAATTCTCCTGAAAAGTCAACTCTTACTTCATTCTTTGTTTTCAGTGGCCGTGCATAATTTCCATGACAGTCTGAATTGTGAGGATCAGTACTCTTGTTTTTCACAGTGGGGTCCTAACCAACGATTATCCTGTCATTTACCATGATTTTTGGAACCTCTTTGACCAAGATTCACTTTACGTGTCTTTTTCTTGTATGATGAAACTTCGAATAAATCTAAGAAGAATTATTTAGTAAGAGGAAATGAGATTACTTTTGTTTACGCTGCGTTATTTTCCTTAGGAAGCCCTGAGGAACAAGTTTATAAGAAATTTTATAGAGAGCCAACTGCACATTGATGTTGATAAACTGATGGGAAAGCTCCAGACTTACGGTAAGTAGGTGGGGTGTGTGAGTATAAGCGGGTGGGCGTGCCCATGGGTGTGTCCTTTTAGGCGAGTGTGTCTCTGTATGTGGGCGTGTCCATGTAAATAAGTGGGTGTGTCCACTACGTGGGTGGGCGTGGCACGGTCCACTTACGCAATGGCCCACCACTGGCGCCCTCATCCTTCCACCTCCAAGGTTCTGGGTGACACTGACAAGTTGCTCTTCCTCCAAGGTTCCTCGTACCTGAAGTTTTCTGATTTATGGAGTCAGGGCTTGAGTAGCAAGGAACGTGGTCAAAAAGGAAGGCTTCTGATGTGAATGCAAGAATAAATGAGACTTAAAACAATTAATGAGTTTTTGAAAGAAATGAGTGTTCCTGAGTTAATAGTTGATTGAAAGCAGGTACATTGACTTGAAAATTTGGAGCTCAGGTTAAAAAGTTCTATCAGCCCACCAGTGGTTATATTGTGTCTCCCTAGTTAATGCATGAATTTCTTTAGATATTGAACGATCATTCCCTAAGCACACAGGAGAGCTGGGCCCTGTGCCAGGATCTGGAGCCCCTGCCCACTACTGCAGAGGGCACAGATGGCCATGTTAGGAACAGTGATGCGGTGGCAACATTGGGTTTTGTCAGGAGCATCCTGGGCAGGATCTCAGGAGCCCTGCTCTGCTGGGTGGTCCCCTGAGGGAAGGGAGGGAGTCTCTGGCTTCTGGTGCTGCCTGTGCCTGGAAAGAGGCTGGTGGCCACCTGTGGTGTGGCGCAGAGGGCCAGGCATTGTGGGAGGCACCGTGCTTCCCTTTTCTGAAAAACACAGACATGGTGAATTTACTCCCATAGAAAAGTTAATGAATTTAAATTATTTCCCTTTTATTTTATTTCTTAAGCAGGCTACATGCCCAGTGCAGAACCCAATGTGGGGCTCGAACTCACGACACTGAGATCAAGACCTGAGTGGGTCCCTTAACTGACTGATCCAGCCAGGTGCCCCAGGTTAATGATACTTAAAAATAAATGTCACTGACTTAAGTCATTTTTCAAGTAATTAAAAGTACTTCTGTATGTTTTACAAAGATCCTTTCTGTAACTCTGTAGGTAAAGAATTTGATCACCTTACTCCATGCATCCTTTTAAAATCTCAGGCTGGATCCGTTGGAAGAGCATGCCAGTCTTGATCTTGGGGTCACGAGTTCGAGTCCTACGTTGGGTGTGGAGATTGCCTAAGAAATGAATAAATAAAACAAAAACAATTGTTAGTGAGGTCATCTATTTCTCTGCATTGGAACCAGCATCTGGAGCCTGGGGCCAAAAAAGGAGCATTTGCAAGTAATTTGTAGCAATTTCATAGAATGTTTGTCCAGTCAGGCTCTTGGTTTTATTCCTTAACTTTTTAAAGGTAACTGTTGGATTGTTACAAAAGGAATTTATGCCTGTTGTAGAAATATTAGGAATACAAAGAAGCAAAAAAAAAAAAAATCTACGCATAACCTCATCATCAGAGGCAGCCTGGGGTTAATTTTTCAGACAGATTTGCATGGCTCATGCGAGCGCGGGTATGTGTATTTTCACAAAAATGATCACACTGTTTACAGTATTCTGCAAACAGCTCATAAATGGATGCTGGGGGTTCCTGCATGGTACAGTTGGTTAAGTATCTGACTCTTGGTTTTGGCTCAGGTCATGATCTCAGGGGTTTTGGATGGAGCCCTGCATCATGTTCCTTGCTCAGCGGGGGGTCTGCTTGGGCTTCTCTCTCTCCCTCTGCCCCTCCTGGTGGTGCTGTTTCTCTCTCTTTCTCTAAAAATAAAATAAATAACATCTTAAAAAAATAAAGAAATGGATTCTGTTGCAAAGATTCTTCATGTCTTTCAGGACTTCCTGTTCCTAAAAGTCTCCTGTCCAGCCCCCTACCACATCCAACCCCTAGCACAACCTACTTTAAACTTGTTTAGCTGTTTCTGTGGATTGTATCTTTGTATCATGGCCTGATACATTATGTATCGTTCTATCTTTACATAGCAGTTAATCCATTTTTCCCGCTTCGAGAGATGCAGCCTTGCTTCTTCCTCCGGGCCCCATCGCTCCCCTGCGGTGATGTGATCGTTTTCCTTATAGCCACATCACGACCAGATGAATACAGTTCGGTGCAGAATTAGGCTGCAGGTTATAATGATGTTTCCTTTCTCACAATGTTTCCCTCTTCCTAGGCTTTCTGTTCTTTGGCTCCCCAAGTCCCCTGCCCTCCATGCCAGTGTGCCACCCTTCCGGGGGAGACGGGTTCCCTCCATCTGTGTGGACAGACACCTGCTGGCTTGCCTTCCTGCCCCTGGGGCTGGCGGGTGCCCCTGAGTGCTCCCAGGAATTGCCTGCTCTGTTCTCCCAGGTGGGAGACCAGGTCTCCTGGGCTCTTCAGCCTCCCCACTCTTGTTTTATGATCGTTTTTTGCTGGTTGATATCTTAAAATGCCAGTCTGCAAGAGGGTGCATGGGAAAAGCATTTCCTGAGCAATTTTACTGTATAAATTCATTGTTACATCTGAAGGGTATGTGGGAATATTCCCAATTTCACAGATACATTTTGATTTGTGTTCTTCTCTCTCTCTCTCCCTCTTCATACTTTTATTTTTTTGATCAGTCTTGTCAGAAGGTAATAAATGTTAGTTTTTTTTTTTTTAGTAAAACAAGTGTTTGGCTTTAGTGATAATTGCGTTTATTTTCTATTTCATTGACTTCTGAGTTTTTTGCATGTTTTTCTGTTTTGTTTCTGGTTCTGTCCTTTCATACTCTTTGGTTTGTCCCCCCCCCCCCTTTTTTTTTTCCTTTTGGTAACTACCTGAGAGAGAGATTTAGATCTGTGATTTCCACCTTCTTTTTCTTTCTCTCTCTCTCTGTGTGTGTGTTTGTGTGTGTGTACGCACACTTATAATGACATGCTTCCCTCTAGACATTGTCTCATTGCCTCTCATAGGTTTTGATATGTTCTGTTTTCATTAGCATTCACTGTAGTGTGCTGTTTCTGATCCTTGGGTTGTATGAAAGTTTATAGTTTATTTTCTAAATATCTGTGATTTTCCATTTATTTATTTACTTTTTAAGATTTTATTTGTTTGTTAGGGACGTGGTGGAGAGAGCACAAGCAGAGGGGGCAGCAGGCAGGGGGAGAAGTAGGCTCCCCGCCATGGAAGGAGCATGACACAGGGCTGGATACCAGGACCCTGAGATCATGACCTGAGCTGGTGCTTAATTGACTGAACCCCCAGGTGCCCCCTTACTGGTTTTTCGTAGAATCATTCTATCCGTTATTCACAGGTGTGTGTGAAACTTCCCATTCGGACTGTGGATTGTCTGTTTGTCCTTATGTTATGTCAATGTAGGGTTTATACAGTTTGAGGCTGTGTTTTGTCTTTTATTGCTAACGTGTTAGATATTTATATTTTCTTCAGTTGGCTTAGTTTGGGGCCGCTGGGTGAGTCTGCTGTAATGTCCGTGGCAGGTGGGGCCTGCTATTATGTTCTGTTTTCAGGTGAAACAACGTTTCGTCTCTGGGGTCGGGTGCAGGAGTTTGAAGACTCAGTTCTCTGCCTACCTGAAGCTTTCGAAAGGGCTCCTCCTTGTCTGAGTCTCTGGGCCGGCTTCCTGGGTGGTCGGGACGGCATATTTTATTCCGTAGGAGATGGGACTGTGAATCAGGCCATCAGGACAGGACCAGAGCCTGCACAGCTCATGGTGCGGGGACCCGAATGGGGCAGAGTGTGGGCTGAGCCCCCTGCTCTGCCGACGGGAGAAGCTGTGGCCTCTGCCTTCTGCTCAGCCGCCTGCAGGGCTGTGAGTGCGCTCTGATTAGGGTCCCTGGAGACAGAGGCTGGAGGCTGCGTTCAGCCTCGGGCAGGATTTCAAAGAGATTCTTGGCTGGGGCACAGTGGGACAAGCAGCCCTAATCTCTAAAGCCCTTTGTCTTTTTAGATTTGTTCTAAAAATGTATTTATTTGAGAGAGAGCAAGAGCAGGAACAGGGGAGAGGGGGAGAGGGAGAGGGGGAAGCAGGCACCCTGCTGAGCAGGGAGCCCGATACGGGGCTTGACCCCAGGACCCTGGGATCACACCCTGAACTGAAGGCAGACACATAACCATCTCCGCCCCCCAGGCACCCCTTGTTTGTCTTAACTCGAGGCAACCCGCATGCAACCCAAGGTCCCTGATGGGACGAGGCCACTGTTCGTCGTTCTGAGAACTGGCCTGCTGGCTCCATCTGCCGTGTCGGCTTGAGTGCTGATGGGCTGCCCGACTCCGGTCATATGGGGCCAGAAGACCATGTCCATGGCAGGTGGGGCTGAGTCTCCACTCCCCTGCCCGGGCAGGAGCAGGACCGGCCACTCTGGGTTTATTCCCGGTTTCCCAAACACGCTCTCTGGTGGTGAAGGCCCGGGAGCCGCCCTCAGCTGTGGCTCTGAATTAGACCCTAGTGGGTGAGCTTACAGAGCATGTGTCCTGAGATGCGTGGTCCGCAATGTAAACATGCCCTTGGTTTGCACCGTCCTGTAAAATTCCCTACTTTGCGGGTGTCCCTCCAACACAAGAGAGAGCAGCAGGCATACCGGGGGGCCCTCACAACGCATGCTTTGCTCTCCCACTTTCTAGTTGTCCTGTCTGCCGTCATCCTGAAGGGTTAAATGAAGACCACTGGGCCTGGCTCTCTTCTCCAGCAGTTCTAACTGTCAGCGTGAGCACTTCTTACACGGGCGCTGAACAAACTTTACTTTAGAACAACTCCACAGGCGAGATGGTTTTCCTCCCATGGAAGACGAGGATGATGAAACTTTGCAGATCAAAATCACTTTCCGACACAAGGGGTGACTGGGTGGCTCAGTCCGTTAAGCGTCTGACTTGGTTTTGGCTCAGGTCATGATCTTAGGGTCGTGGGTTCGAGCCCCATGTCAAACTCCCATATATGCTTGTCCTCCCTCAGTCCCCCCTCCCCTGCTCATGTGCGCGCCCTCTCTCTCTTTCTATCTCTCAAGTAAACAAATAAAATCTCTAAAAAAAAATCATTTTCCAATGCAAAACATGGAATCACATAGAGCTGCTCCAGGGGCAGAGCCGTGTGCTGCTGACGTCCCTGCTACCATTCTTGGGCTCCCTGTAGCAGTTACTACGCGGGGATGGTGTCACTCTTCCTGTGCCCCAAGCTGCCCCCACCCTGCCCGTGTGTCTCATGCTGTGGCTTTTGATGGCTCCGGGTTGTGTCACTGCACACGGAAACCTCTGAGCTCAGCCACCCACCCACCGTGCTCCGGAACATTAGAATGAATCCCCCACAGAGCGCCCGGCGCAGCTGCCGCACACCCGTGGGTGCCTGCCCTCACAGCGACATTTCACAGCGTAAATGACGTCTTCGGAATGTGGTGCGTGGATGCTTCTTACATGGCGTCCCAGGGCCCGGAAAGTCACGGAGTCAAGGTGGTGCCTCGCCCAAAAGCATCACCTCTGCTTCAGCATTTGCAGGAAAGTGAGACGTAATTTTATATGGAAATAAAAGGAAGAGGCTTGGTTATAACACTTTCCTGGGGTGGGGGGAGTCACTTATTTCGCAAGATTTTCTTCTTGTAAGGGCTCTCCTGGGGTCCTGTCTTCTCTCTGGATCCTTCCCTCGGCTGCCCTCCAGTCTTCTGCGCTGGGCGTCCGCGGGGGTAACGCGCCAGAAGCACGGCATGGCTCCCCTTGGCTGAGCTGTGCACGTTGGAGCCACCAGGGTGACCGGTCGAGGAAAGATGCAGTTTCCTGGCCTCAGCTCTGCCCCTGCATAGGCCGCACTGAGCCCGCTGTGCAGAGTCTGACACTGCAGCAGACAAACCGGGGCTGCCGCTCTGTCTCAGCTGGGGTGGAAGTGGGGGTTGGCAATCTGGAAGTCTGCCCCCAGGCTGGGCATCGCTCCGATCCTGTGCTGTCCTCTGAGCCGGCGTCTGATAAGCTGATATCTGATCGGATCAAGGATGCACATTCTGTCTGTGCCTCTGGCGGGGATCGATCTTCTCTAATATATTCATAACCGTGGTATTAGGACGCACTGATCGAGTGCTCGGCCTGCTCTGGACACCAGGAGTGCCCGAAGGCTTACCGGCATTGTTTCATGTAATCTGTAGCAAGATATCACTGAGCAGATTATCATCATCCCTGTTCCCTAAGCAAGAGATGTAGGGTGTCAGGGCTGAGCAGACACAGCTGCCTCTCGGGGGGGGGTGTACCCCATCTGACCCTTGGCCGTGAGGCCCCAAACACTTTTCCCCAATAGCAGGCCTGCTGTGTCTCCGTCTCCGCAGCGGATGTGGTCCCAACTGAGAGGCTCTCCTTCAACCAACGCGGGCTCCCATTCAGCAGACAATGGCCAGCCCTGTGGGAGCAGGCCCCGTGTCTCGGCCTGGGATCCAGGAAATCTACTCAGGGATGGTCCTTATGGAAGGAGGTCTGGTGGCTGAGGGAAGGGCCACTATGGTGTTTCAGAGCTGCCCCTTTGCTGTCTTATGTCTACGTGGTTCTATGATTCACTGTGTTTGTGTGTTGTAGCTGTGTAAAAACATGGCGGTGTGTTTCCATGTGCATTTACCCCTTCTTCCTTATGAAGTCTGGAGCAACTTAGTCTCTGGGGGTCTCTTAAGGAAGGAGGCCCAGGGGGATGGGGTGGCCTGCCCCAGTGGATTACAGACACATTGCCCCTGCTCACGGTGATGCTGTGACATCGGCGACCCATGATCATCCCTATCTTCTCCCTGTCATCATGCTGAACACCTCTGTAATCGTGTCCCTTCCCAGGCAGGGTTCTCGTGTTCTTCTGCGTCGTTTGGCTTTCCCACATCTCTCTGACCTGTGGTCCAGCTCTTCCCTGAAGCCAGAGCTCACATACCGCGTCCTCCTCCATGTTCCGTGCTGACAAATGGGCCCGCTTTACTCCCCAGGTCTATTTCCATTTCAAAGGCACAAACCTGGGCAGAGTGCACTAGGATCGGATTTCCGTGGTGACAATGCCCCTTGATCCTGGGTCACTGTCTCTGCAAAGTTAATATGACAAAGCTAGTGACTTTCACAAAATGCCCAATGTGATGGTGAAGGCATGTTTTCTGGAATTTCTCAGCGCCAGGTTGGAACAGTAATGTGTTTTTGGTTTTGTTTTTGTTTTTTGCCGGGTTCTGTGTGCAAGGCCTTCCGTGCTGCTCGCGGGCCTGCCCCCGACTGGCTGCTTCTGTGTGTCGCCCACCACCCGGCATCCCTGGGCCATAGGCTCACCCACTGAGCTTCCACGGCTTTTCATTCCCGTGTAAGGAACGGCGTCACGGGACTGCACTCACAGAGCGCAGTTGGGGCACCTGGCTGGCTCAGTCGGTGGAGCCCGAGACTCTTGCTCTCAGGGTCATGAATCTGAGCCCCACCTTGGGCTCAGAGCCTATTAAAAAAACAAAACGAAACAAAACAAAAAACAAACAAAAACAAACAAACCCCAAACCAAAACCCAAAAGGCAGAATTGATAGCCAGCCAATAGGTAGCACATCTTGCATATGAACAGAGTGTGACTCAAGAAGGGATTTTTTCCTCCCCGGGACTGAGTGAACATATAACGTCCTGTCCACTTACTGTCCTCAGGAGGGAAGCTGGACAAGATGTTTGCCCACGGAGGTGCCGGACGCATCCGAGTCCTCGGCCGCATCTTGGTGAACCTCTCCTCCTGCGTGGTGCTGGACCGTTTCCAGGCACTGGAGTCCGTCGCCAGCCTGGAGGCGAAAGCCCGTGAGCTTATGCGACAGAACAGCTTCTTGGCTAGTAAGTATTCTGTGAGAAAATGCACTCCTGCTGGCACCGGCTCCCGGGGGCTTGCCATTTTGCGTATTTCCCCCAAACGTGTGTGCCAGTGACTCAAAAAGACAAAGACCTCCTTGGGGCGACTGGGTGGCTCAGTGGGTTAAAGCCTCTGCCTTCAGCTCAGGTCATGATCCTGGGGTCCTGGGATCGAGCCCTGAATCGGGCTCTCCGCTCAGTGGAGAGCCTGCTTCTTCCTCTGCCTGCCTCTCTGCCTACTTGTGCTCTGTCTCTCTGTCAACTAACTAAATAAAATCTTTAAAAAAGAAAAGCAAAGCAAAGAAAAAGACCTCCTTTCCCAACAGAATGAAACCAGGCAGAAAGACTCACCTTGAGTCGATGAGTTGTGTCTGTCTGTCTCAGATGCTTGGCCCCACACCGTTCCCAGCACCTGTGTTTACTAGTTTATGGTGTCATTTTACCATTAAATCTCACATGATAAAATTATATCTTTTCTGGTTAAAGTTATGCTCACATCACTTTGACTTTTATCTTAGTATCTTGAAGTCCTGAGTGTGCGGGGAAGGGGGAGGTAATAGCCAGTCCGACTTCATCCATTCATGCCCATTGGTTCAGGATGCACGATGTGTTCTCAAATCCTGAATGAACATCGCATTATTTTTTAAAATCTGGGTTTTGTATGAGTTTGCTGAGGGCTGCCATGACAGGACCACCGACCGAAATCTATATTCTCTTGGTTCTGGCCAGAAGTCTGAGATCCAGGTGTCAGCAGGGTGGGCTCCTTCTGAGACCATGAGGGGAGCATGCTTCAGCCTCACCTCAGCGTGTCGATGGCTGCCTTCTCCTGGGTCTCTTACCATGTCAGCTCTGTGTGTGTCTGTGTCTACGTTTCCCCTGATGGAGGACACCAGTCCTACTGGGTGAGAGCCTGCCCTAAGGGCCTCCTTCTCACTTGACCATCTCCGTGAGGACACCGTCTCATTGGCCGGAATCGAGTCCCTATGGTCACATTTTGAATGATCTTTATATGCAACAGATGAATCATTGAATATTATATCCAAAACCAATGATGTACTATATGTTCGCTAATTGAATTTAAATTAAAAAAAAAAAAGAATGATCGATAACCCCAAAGACATTGGTTCCTTTTTGGAAATTGAAATCTAGCTGATACACATGACATCAGTACAGTGTGACAACTCTACGTCTCGCCTTGCTCACCACAGGCAACGCGTGACCACCTGTCACATACTGTTGACCACAGTGTCTGTGCTGTTCCTTCCATCCCTAATCTCCTCCTTCTACAACCCAAGACTGCACCTTCTGTGCCTCATTCTCACGCATGCATCTGTACCCCAGCAAAGGAAAGTCGGATTATCTGAGCAGCCTGCTATCATTTTTCAAGTCCTGGAAAGGTGCAAAAGAAATCATTTTGTTACACTGGTAGGTTATTTTGTTGCAAATAACCGGGACACACAGCAGGTGTTTATATAGCATTGCCTGCCTGCCTAACATCCAGACTCAGTGATGCCATTCCAGGGAGTGGTCTGTTCCCCAAGAGGGGCTTGGGCTGAGTCTCGTGGCACATCCACCTTCCCTCGACTCCTGCCCTTAGGTGTGATGACCCCTGTCTTCCCTCTTCTGCTGGCAGGTGTCATATTCAACACTTCCCTGGCAGACAGGAACTCGGGGGCCCCGTCCCTGCGGCTGGCACCCCACGTCACCTACACTATCCGGACCAGCATCTTATACAGCATGAGGACGGACTTGGTGAAAAACCCTTCCTGGAAGTTTCATCCTCAGAGCCTACCAGCCGATGGGTTCAAGTACAACTACATCTTTGTCCCTTTGCAAGACATGATCGAGAGAGCCATCATCCTGGTGCAGACCGGGCAGGAGGACGTGGAACTGGCTGCGCAGACACAGGCCATGCCGTACCCATGCCACACCAGGGACCTGTGAGTAGACACCACACAGCCACCTCACCCACACCCCCATTTTATGGAGGGATATGCTTTGCATTTGGACCCGTGTCTAGAGGAAGTCTTGGAGCTTCTCTGTAGTCGCTCCAAAGAGCATTTAAAGAAAGTCCATTTCCCCTTCTAATTGCTTACGATTAACTTACAACGCCCGGGGCCATCCAGACACAGGAGTGATTGTTGAGATGACGGGATCCTGTGGGACTTTGAATTTGACACCAGGCGTCCGTAGCTCTAAAGACCCTTCAGAGTGAGTCTGGACAGTAGTCACAGGGGTTTCGCATGTCGGACTCCTGATGTCCCCCATCTGAGCTAGGGAAACAGAAGAGGTCACTCCCTCTCCTGTGTCAACCCAGAAAAATTTGGCCTACTTGCGGGGAAGAGCGGGATCCCCAGAGGCCGGGGACTGTGCCTTGGGGATGCGTGGGGCAGTCTGCGAACACAAAGGAGTTCATTGGTGACCTGGCTGGTGACATCCGTGCGGGAGAGAAGCGGTGGTCAGTTACAGGCTAGAGCAGCTGGACCACAGCACTTGAAGGTGGGGGGCAGTCCAGGCAGGGCTCACAAAGAGGAGTGGGGGGCGTGCCTGACTGGGATGTGGACCCCTGGGTGCGATCGGGTGGTCAGCAGCCTGATAGCCACGTGGCTGAGGTCGGTGGGGGGGACTCAGCGCCAAGCGATGCTCTTCCTCTAGCCTCTTGTCCCAGGCCCAGACTAGGCTGGGGAGCACGGGAGGAAAGGGCCGGAAGGGAGGCCATCAGGGGGACCACCTGGGATCTGTTTGTTAGGAGAGCAGGCAGAGATGCCATCCTTTAGTGGGACACCTGCCACGCAGAAGCCAAGGGACTGTGGTCACGCTGACAAGATGGACGTCTTGATGTCTTATGCCCTCCTTGTCTGGGCACATGCTCTCCACACTATAACTCACTAGTGCATTTTCATGAAGCCAAAGGTGGTGTCACAGGGGGGCCTGCCCATAGTGGCCTGAGCAAAGGCTGTGTCCGCCTGACAGTGACTCCCTTGGGGGACCAGAGCGTGGCAGACAGACCAGAGGGTCAGAAAGACAGACACCAGGGTGTCAATTTAACCCAGGGGCCGCCTCACTGTGCAGATCACTGCGAAGCCCTTTCACCTCCTGCTTCGTAAAATAAAAGCATTTCTTTCCTTTCCAAGTGGCGATGGTTTTGGCTTTGAACGTTTTCAGCCACTGCTTCTTTGCTCTTACATTGTTTTTCTTGGTGGCAGGTGCATCATGAGCAGAATTTGAGAAAAAGCCTTTTTCTGGCAAAGCGTCAGGTGCCAAACATCACAGCAGCCTATGTGCCAGGGTGTTGTGGGGATGAATGACCTGTTTGCAGGTACTTGGAGAAATCGACTTTTTATGATGCTATCTTCTCCGTTGGATGTCGGGAAGGCGGCACTCTGTAAGCCTCTGTCTAGCTAGTGACCTTCACCGTGGAAGAGGGGCCCTGGGCGTGCGGGGAGGAGAGGAGGTTCCCTTGGGTCTGTCGCACAGGAGGAGGCTGGGGTTACCTCACCCGCCCCCATGCAGGGGGGTCCCCAGGGGTATGTTGGGCAAAACAGAACAGCACCCAATCCTGCAAACTGCTTTATGGCGAGTCTAAGGTGGCCCATGTGGTCCGCTTTCCTTTCGTGCTGACCGTGGTGCTCGGCGAACGGACTTTGGGGGAGGAGAGGGACGTGAACCTGTGCCTCTTCACCCCTTGATGGTAGGTAAGCTCTTGGACTGAGGCCCATTAGGGCCTCGGGCTGGAGTGAGCTGAGTGCCCTGGCAGGATTCCGGCGTCACGGGTTTCCTTGATCCTGTCTGTTGTTGAAGCGTGGCTGACGTGCGTGGTGATTCCGCAGCTCTGTGTGTCACACAGCGCTCCCCACGTTCTGCGTCGCCATCTGTCACCGTCTACTGGACCGTGCTATGGACCAGGCTGTGCGTTGCATCTCCCTGACTTATTTAATTTACAGTGGGGAGTGCATCAGTCTCCAGCCCCATCACCTGTTTCGACCATCCCCCTCCCCTCTCCTGCCAGTTTTTCTCTGTAGTTACAAATCTCTTTCTGTTTTCTTTTTCTTGTTAGTGTTGTTTGTTTGTTTGTTTATTTATTTATTTATTTATTTATTGTTGTTGTTGTTTTTTTAGATTCCACATATAAGCACAATCATGTGGTATTTGTTGTTTTCTGTCTGACTTAGTTCACTTAGCAGAATACCCTTGAGGTCCATCCATGTTGTTGCGAATGGCAAGATCTCATCCTTTTTTATGGTTGAGTAATATTCTTATATATACACAGTGGGACACTCGGCCTAGTGGGTGGAAACATTTCTGTCTTGAGCTGCCTGACCTGTGTATCCTGCTACAATCCTGGGTCATGGACTCATTTTTACTCTTCTCCCTGGGCTCTCATGGCGCTATTTCTCAGAAGTCTTACTCTACTCCTTTGAAGGAGGTGAAGACGTACTGTCCTTTTCTGAAAGAGTCAAGCCTTGGAGGCTTTCATGGCCTTATATCCTGCTTTCATTAACAGTTTCCAAAGGTGCCTGTCTCTTGAGGGCTGGGTGTACCAGCAGGAGCCTGAGGCTCCGTGGAGATCCTATAAGATCCTGACACTCGGCCACCTGAGGGACGGTCCTGAAGCCCGGCTTCGACCACAGAGCACACTCATGTGAAATTTTCAGTAGCTCCCTACTACTCGTGGATTACATGGTCCACATATAATCACTAGCTAGACAGAGGCTTACAGAGTGCCGTCTTCCCGACATCCAACGGAGAAGACAGCATCATAAAAAGTCGATTTCTCCAAGTACCTGGAAACAGGTCATTCATCCCCACAACATCCTGACACATAGGCTGCTGTGATGTTTGGCACCTGATGAATTATGTGGTTGTTAATTGACTTATTTGTTCAACTCTATTTCTATACCGTTTATTGGTCTCAAGACCTGGGTGAGTCAACGAAGGGACAGGCTGAATCCCTGCTCTTGGGCCTGAGCTCAGGGACACGGTCCACACATACAGGAAGCAGCTTGAGTTGAATATGGGGAGGAGGTAAGCGCTGGCCGGTGGGGATGAGGGTGGCCAGGAGTGCCCGGAGAATTAATAATGTGGTTACGGTCAGCCTTGCCGGGAAGGTGACGTTCAATCTGTTAAACAAGAAAGATTCAACTGAGTAAATTTAAAGATCAAATGGACTTTGTTCAGGGATTCATGAATCAGGCGTTAGGCATCGTCCCTTTCAGCAAATACGAAGGTGTGCCCGGAGCTATAGAAAGGGGAAAGCGAGAATGTTTTAAAGAAATTATTAGCAAAGAACGCATTGTTTCAGGCAAGGCTGCCCTCCCAAGGGGAGCCCAAGGGGTCTTTCCGGGGCTCGCTCTTCTGCTGACCAGATAATCCTGGGTTGACCGGTTAAAGCTTATGTACATTCCTACTGGGCTGGAACTTAGGCTAAGTATGAACTCTTGGTTTGCTGACCTGGGCTCAGCACAAGTGACTCCTACAGGCCTGCTCTCTCTCTCTCTCTTTTAAAAGATATATTTATTTATTTGAGAGAGAGGGAGTGGAGAGGCAGAGGAAGAAGGATAGAGAAAATCCCAAGCAGCTCCCGGCTAAGGCTGGAGCCCGACCCCACAACATTGAGATCATGACCTGAGCTGGATTCAAGAGTTGGATGCTCAGCCGACTGAGCCACCCAGGGCCTTCCCTACCCCCTCCCACATTGCCTCTTTCACAGAAACACAGGGAAATGTGCTCTAGACCAGAGGAGCAGCTAGTGCAAGGGCCCTGGGGCAAGGGCGGCCTGCAGTAGAGTGCACATGGGCGCGAGGGTGGGAGTGGAACTCTAAAGCTACCCACAGAGAGCCAAGCTGCTGGTGGGCTGAGGGATGTGTATGGCCACTGGAGGGTTTTGAGCTAGAGAGATGCCATCTGAGTCATGACATGAAGGCTGGCACGGGCCTTCATCCTTAGCAGGCTGACATGTTTCCCCACGTGACTGTGGCCTGGTCTAACATGGGGATGGATTCTGGTTGCTTTCAGAAGGGAGGTGACAGATTTGAGGAGGGTGTGATGGAGAGACATCAAGTTGGACTACTGTCCCAGGGCTGGAATGGGCATTGGGAGTGGTCTGGGCCCAGTGGGACAGGTGGGTCCCTGGGGCCCTCCCCAGGAGCTGCCTCCATGGAGGGGATGGTAGTCAGCGTGGGGGGGTGGGCAGGAGAGGCTGGAGGTAGGGACAGCACACCTGGAGACTTGAGTGTGGACCTCCCAGGAGCCCACTGTATGCGGGGGGAGAGTGGAGAAGCAGGTGGTGGCAGAGAATGTGGGTGGAGGGGGATGGAGAAGCAGGTGGGAATCGGGCAGCAAAAGAGAGGGTTTTGTCTCTTTTTAAATTATTTTATGTTATTTGTTTTTAGTAGAGGATCTGATCTGTTGGGAATAGTTGAGCAGGAGGGAAGAGATAATAATAATGAATATCTCCTCCTTCTTCCTTCTTCCCTTCTACCCTCCTCCCTCCCTCTTTCTTCACCTCCTCCATCTCTACCACCCCACCTCTCTCCTCCCTCCTCCATCCCTCCCCCTTCCATCTCCCCTCCTCCCTCCTTGATCCTACCCCCCTCTTCTCCACGCCTCCCTCTTTCCATTCCCCCCCCACCCTCCTCTTCCTCCCTCCATCAGTCTCTTTCCTTTATAATCTGCCAGCAGCCCCTGGAGCTGATGTTTAGAGGGGCTGACACTGGGAAACGCACCTCTGGGGTGGCAGACTTGGGTGGGAGCAGGACGAGCAATACAATTTAAGGTTCCTTCCAGCCCCGAGATTCCCGGGTGGTTATCACAGGACAATTTATGGTGGGAGCTCCAGGGGACTTCATGAATACAAAGAATGTCAAATGTTAATTCATGGCTCCAGAGAGTAAGACAACCTCCTAAAAAGGTTTTCAGCAAAATGAAAACCCTAACAATG